TGGATCTTTTTTAGCACTGCAGTGACACTGATGTCCAAAAAAGCAAAACAGACATTGAATCTGACAGTTCCAGTTACGATTTTGGCCTCTTTTGTATGTGGTACTGAAATCGGATATGTATCTGATACACGGCAATGTAACCTCTATTTGTAGAGTCAGATTGGAATTCTTGTGCAGGAACAACAATGAAACTTGATTTCTTTGTATAAAGACATTATAAATACATACCAACTTAATACTGGATTTTGCCGAGCATATCTACATGTGCTTTAACCCTTTATATATTAACCCTAAGGCTACTATGAAGTAATTAGCTGGAAAACAATGCAAACTGTTTTTTATTAAAGCTATAATAGTGAGGAATGGAAACTTGGAACCACCAGTGGCCAACAAAGGGGTTAACTACAGCAGTACTGACTGATGCATCAAAAATAGCACTACCAAAAGGCTTAAAACTTGAAAAACTGAAAACAATGTGGAAGTGGCTCTTATATGTGTTAAGAAAACAAAGTTGATATTACTTGAACTGACCTTTTAAAATGTACTCTAAGTGTTAGCGTTGAAAGAGTATAGTTATCGCAAACATTAAATCAGCCAAAGTCAAACAGAAAGTCAAATAAAAGGGAATGAATTGTGTTTTTCCAAGTTTCACGGGATTTCCACTTGCTATTACAAGACGCATACCCAAATAAATTACAGCTGTTGTACTTAAAATAGGATGTACTCCACATTACTCCACAGTTAGGGGAACCTTTTTTTTAAGATGTCATATGTTCAAATGGGATTTTTGAGTTTAATTAATGTGTTGACATTTAATCTGTTGCCATTAGCAGCTGGAGGGACTAGCACAGGAGACAAGATTTTATTGGCTCCTGGTTCGATCTCTTCTCCTTTCTCCTTGGTGTCTTTCCTATGCTTACATTTTTTATTTTGGTTAATTGCCAGGCCTTGTTGTTAGCTGTAAAAGCATGTTACCATATTCTGTATTGCTGAGTGTGGTTCTAAACTGAATGGGCACCTGAGTAGCTCTTTTAATCCAATTGTTGTAAGAGTAATTGGACCAACATAAGTTGATACCTTATGGTAGCCTAAGTTGGTAGCAGGGCCAGATTATGGTGTTAGTTTGTGTCATATCTAGAATTTTGTATCATATTAGATGGTGCGGTTAAAGTGTAAAAAGTGTGATTCAACATTTCCAAACAGTCATGTACAATGGGGTCAACATGTTTCATGGATATTAGAGAATCAGATTTAGATTTTTCCATTAGACAGCACATGTTGTTGTAATATCTACATGGTCACCAAAAAGACCTAAATTTTTTTTCTTTTGAAGATGTATCACCTGGGTTTAACACAAACCAGTGCTTAGTTCTCTTATTAACCCTAAATTTCTTTTGTAGGGTGGTCAGTGGTCTTATTCAACCTAATGCTAAATAATGTGTTATGCAGAACAATTCCTTGCAAATCAAGGTCTGGAAAAAAGGCACACCTGTTAAATTACAAACAAAAATCTAGAATTTCTCTTAATAACTTGAAAAGCAGATTAGTTCAGTTTGGTTTCAGTAATTCAATGAGGCAGTGATCAAGTCCTGCAGCAAAACACCACTGGATGTATAATGAGGAGGTCTGTTTGACAGCGATCCACAAAGAGATACTGTGCAAGTCTTGCTCAGGGAGAGTCATTAATTTGACATTTCCTGGTGGAAAGAGATCTTTTTAAGCTTCCATTAAAACTTTCACTACACACACAACACAGAGAGAGTGATTGCTGGAATGCAACCTGCTCCACTTTCACACAGCAATCTGATGCTTATACGCCCCACTGCTTTCGGCTAGACCAAATCAATTATGGCATCCTCCGCGGTCTACTACTGTTAATGATTAATGCCCAGAACCTTTCAACACGTTCCATCAGTAAAATCCCATTTTAAGCATGTTTTCCATCTTTCATCTCACAGGCGTGTTTTTATTAATCTGCCAACATTGTGCAGATGTCTTACGCAACCCCCACTAACACAGAAAAAACAATATGCACAATGGGGCCAAAGAGATAAAAGATGGAAAACAAATGCTAAATTAGAATGGAACGGGCGAGAACGGTCCATTAGGAGCTCTATCGGCCAGCTATAATAGGATGTAATGAATGACTGGGACAACATGACAAAGTAGAAGAATATGATAAGAACTATTCCAAGTACTTCTAATGAATATGATAAGCATTATTTGGCGCGCTTAGTACAATAACAGTAAAATCCATCTTATTTGAAGTGGAAGTTTTTCATTTGCATGGAATTTTACACTAGAGACCAGTGACTAAATAATGGCCCATTTTGAGGCAAATGACAGATGTTTGCAAATGTCTTTTAGACTTGCTGTTCTTCAGAAGTTCCTAGTAGGCCTCACACATGCCTCACTTCAACTTCAAGTTACTAAAGTGCAGTCAGTGACAAGCAACGCGTGCAGGTTTGGGTTGTAACAGAATACATGTAACCAGGTTACTGTATTCTGTTACAGCTATGGAGCAAAAGCAGTAATCAGATCACAGGCACATTTGGTTGATCTGTTTTGCTACATAAATATGTCATGAGTTGTGTAGAATAGGTCCCTTCACAAGCAGCAGTTCACGACCTTTCATTGGCCAATCTATAGAAATTTTATCAATTATTGTGTTGTTATTGGCAGAACTAAGATCAGAATTTTCCCAAAGATATTTAATGCAGCATTTACCCTGGTTTTACATTATGCCTGATTCTATAACAGCAAATTGCAAGTAAGCTCTTCTTTTCTAATTTTTTTTGCCACATAAAATTCTACAGTTTGATGAGCTATAAATCTAAATTTGCTGAAATGAGGCGATGTTAACCAAGAATAACATGGAACAGTTTTATAATGATGGGTACAAAAATGTTAAAATGCTCATTCTTCATTATTGGTGAAAACAATCATCTCTCACTTTTAAAGCTCATTATTATTTTATGTGGAGGAATGAAGGCTTATAAGCTGGTACAGACTTTTAGCAGATAGAAAACTGATGATAGGCAGTCAGAGTTTTAGAATGTCCTCTATTTATAATTATTGTTATGAGGGGTCTGAAAAGAAGACATCCACCAGACTGACCTTTTGACTTTGGTATAAAGCGCAGACAATTAGCTCACCTATTATATGTCATTTAGCTTCATATAACATATTGTTCATATAGCTCACCTATTATATGTCATTTAGCTTCATATAACATATAGTTGTCCTGTTTGTCCTGTGCTGAGTTAAAGTTATCTTGCTGAAATAGTTTTTCTCATGTCTTTATTTAATTGTATGACTTTATAAAAACAAGTGATCCAAAAGTAATGAAAAGTAATGAGATTACATTACTTTAATATATTAATCCCTTGGATTAGAGTACAGATTACCATTTTTAACAGGTAATCTGTACCGGAATGCACAGAATTTAAAATTAAATTTTGTAAATGTTTACATTTTTTAATTAATCTTCACCACTTTAAATGGATGATTCATCACAGGCCAGGTAAAGTCAAGCAGAACTACATGTTAACAATAAAGGTTCCTAAATGGGTTTTGGTTTGATGTACGATGTACATTTAGGACATCCTTACACCACAGTGTTAGGTTTCATACTGAAAAACGACTTCAGTTCCAGGAAAAACACATGAGAGAAACACGTCTCAGCTCTCGTTCATCAGGCAAAACAGGTTGTTTCAAATGGCCTCAGGGAAAGAAAGGCAAAGGGCTAATCTAAGGGACCACAAAATGAATTGATGTTTGTGGCCAAACTTATATTAAGAGTGTACCACAACCAAGACCGAATTTTGCTTTATGTTTTATGATTTTATTTGACAAAGATTAAGACTCAACTCATATATATATATATATGTTTTCTTCTGCACCCACTTCAGTGTAAGGAACCATTGGAAATTTACAGGACAAAACAGGAAAAGAAACCCCACCCCCCAATTCCAACCTGGTTTAACTGTTTACCACGGTTATTTTCCACATGGTTACAAGAGAGCTCTGTTATTGGCACATGCCTACTTGCAAATTCCAGGGACTTGAGAATGTGTTTTAAGTTAGGGGTGCTGAAATTTTAAGCAGCATACACTGCTTAGTTAGTCAAATTATCTCACTATGTTTAAGATTTAAGATCATTTCACTTGCAGTGTATAAGTGATGTGAACGGTGACATCATGCAAAATGATTTTCCTTTTTTCATTTGATTTTTCTTTTTTGATAATTTACAGCAAACAGAAGATACTATAATATGCAATAATGTAGTGAGTGACAACAATATACACTTATAACTGACACATGCACACCTTGCTCACTCTGCTCTCTGTCCTTCTGGATGAAATGTATGCAAACGAGCTGAGTGCTGACTAATCAGACTGTTAATGTGTGTCACTCAACCATGCCAAGATTCAACACTGGAATGCATATCTAGCTGGAGATGTAGATGTAATGTTTAAAAAAACAAAAACAAATATATTCAAAGATTATTAGATTTTAGACTTTTAAAGTTTAAAAACAATATTAGGCAGATTTGTGGCTCAAAAATAACCAACCACTCTGCACTTTCCCTTTTCGCACCACAACCTGCTTGTGTTTTAACAACACGCACTCAAAGCGATCAGCTGTTGGCCAGGCAAGCAATCTGGCTCGCTTTGACGAAAGGACATTGTTGACTTAAACAGTGCACGACTACTGCAGGTTTTGAAAGTATATCAATAAATAAACTCCACTCTAAAACAAGCACTCAGGTCTATAGATGTCTGTACTATGTTCAACTCAATTGAAAGTTCACGTCTTTTTATTGTTATTATTTTTTTTTTCAGCAGCAGTCAATCCTGACATCTGGATCTTCCTGCCTCCCTAGCATATTCTGCACAAATTTCCAACAATTAAAATTATGAATTTCCAAATTTCCAAAATACACTTTAACTGGGGCATTAGACTTTAGGGTCAAAACTCATAGAATCCGTGGTACTTACTCGTAGAATTCTGCAGCAGGTGTTCTCTTGTACTTGGCGTAGGAGGTTGCATTGCCAAGGAAGGAGGAGCCGTTGATGAGCTTGGGGTCTTTGCACAGGGGGCTGTTCCACGTGTTGTTACAGTGTTGCCAGGGCAGTTCACTCGTGAATGAGGAGAACAGGTAGTACAGAGACCACGCTATGATGACGTTGTAGTAGAAGCCCACATACAAAGCTATGATGATCACAGTGTAGCCAACGCCTGCAGACGGAGAACATATGCCCTGATAAATGCTCAGAATGACCTGAAACTACATTATATGAATGAAAATGCCTTCACTGTAAAATAAAGCACAACTAAGTGTGTGGATCAGTCTAACCATATGAAGCTAAGAGAAGAAAAATAGACTTCATAACCAGACCTTTGAACACAGGGCAGATTTTCCACACAGTAGCTGCACCTTCTCTGTTGTACTGGCCCAAAGCCAGCTCCATGTAAAAGAGTGGCATCCCCGCAATGAACAGGAACATGATGTATGGGATCAGGAAGGCCCCTGGAGGAATGAATAGCATAGATTTTAGCATTGCAGAAACAGAAAGAAAAGAAAGAGAGGACGCTTTATAGTTGTACTACACTGAAATTTGCAAATAGCTTATAAGGTGAAAAAGTGAATTCTGCAGTTATGTGAGAATTATAACATAGACACTCCATTTATAGTCATGTGCAAATGTTTTGGCACCCCTGGTCACTGTGGAGCCTGTATATACACCGATCAGCCATAACATTAAAACCACCTCATTTCTACACTAATTGTGGTGGATCATTCTCAGCACTGCACTGACACTGACGTGGTGGTGGCATGTTAGTGCGTGTTGTGATGGTATGAGTGGATCAGACACAGCGATGCTGCTGAACACCTCAGTGTCACTGCTGGACTAAAAAACAGTCCACCAATCAAAAATATCTAACCAACAGCATCTTGTGGGCAGCGTCCTGTGAGCACAGATGAAGGACTAGAGGGTGACCGACACAAACTGTGCAGCAACAGATGAGCTACATATCTTGTATAGTTATGTAGTTATTTATATTTTATGCTTTTTACCAACATGTTGTGCCCTAAACTTAGTAAAAAAATGCCATGATCCCTTTAGAGGATGGATGTGTTAACTTATTTCACTTAGAAAATCAATAAAACATGTAATTAGACCAGGGATGTTCAAATTTTGCATAACTGAAATTAATAATTAATAATCGCATGAAGAAACTTTAAAAAAAAAAAAACTCTAGAACTTCTTATTGGCCACTGCAAAAGTATATATTTAATACATTGATATCAATATCCATAATATTTCTAATTTTGAGATTGTTGTAATAATATTATATGATTATATACCTTATATACCTTATACCTTATAAACAGATTGATTACGGTGTTAGTCTTAATCTACAATATTAGTCGAAAGTTTGGACGCATCTATTCATAGAACACTTCTTGACTTTTTATTATTTTCCACTTTAAAAGCAATGGTGAAGACATTAAAACTTGGCAATAACACAAGCTTTACACACTCTTGATCATTCTCTCAAGCAGCTTGTTGAGGAGGTTTTATTCAAGCATATGAGCTTTTCCAAAAGGATTAAAGAAGATACATGTGCGCTGAGACCTTGCTGTTTTGTTTTAGAAATAATTTCATACATGGGCGTCAACTTCACTGCTGGCAATTGTCTTAGAAACTAATTTCATTTGTATTTGTAAATAAGACTTTAGATCAAAATGACTTTAAGACGATAAAGACTGCATATAAATATTCCAAACTTTTGACTGGTCTATGCTGTAATGTCATTCTTGGGCTTTAGCTTAGCTAAAGTACTATTTGGATGGACATCCAAATGCAATCCATGCAAATTGCCATATTAGTAATTGTTAGGGCTTAATGATTTTGGGAAAACACCTAATTCTGATATATCTTACCATTATTGGGAATGCAATTTATATGTCAATTATTTATATAAATCAAGACCCAGGCCTGTTTTTCGGCCAAGAAAACCAGCACTTCCTCTTTCTCTGGCTTGAGATTTAAAGACTTGTTGTGTGATTATGAATGCAACACTTTAATTACTGTCTCACTTATCTGTAGGCAGTTCACATGCCTTCTGCTATTGGGTTAAATTTCTCCACTCACAACTTGTTAGGATAGAGCTGTTGATAATATAGGTTATTATTAAATTTGCAACTCTGGTGACTTGAAAACTGCACTCCTTCAAATGAATGATGAATTGTTTAGCCCTAGTAAATACTACATCATATCCTGTGGAAATGAGTTCTTGTAGTGTTTCTTAACCGTAGAAACGCTCAAAGACTTCTACTTTATGCTCTGAGACTCAAACCAAGCCGATATTGTCCTATGTCAGGTGTACAACTCTGAACATTAACACATTTATACGGCAACACTGACTGTTGGCTACACATTACCAAGATAATAACAATGCTAATGACACGTTACATTCACTTAAGACAGCTGGTTATACGATTAGTGTGAAGGACATTATGATTAAAGTAATTGCATTAATGGAGTAGCCACTCCCGTCTCTTTACTAAGATTTTGTATCCTGTTTGAGTTACAGAGGTCCTGTGGGGGTAAATTACATAACCTAAGGATGGGGAGGGATACTTTAAAGATGTATTCTGGTGCAGATTACTAATTACCTGCTAAAAAAAATTATTTGTAACCCAATCCAAAGGTTTACAATCTTAAAGTAACAATCTGTTTACTTCCCATTACTTTTTAATCACTTTTTTTTTCACAGAAAAATAATTTCATCAAGATGAGCTCCTAACACAAGGTAAACAGACAGAAACAATAAAGGTGATGTATAACAGTGCTTTATGTGTGCTGTGTGTAACATTTAAACATGTTATTAAATATTGTAGTGGAGTCAATCAGGTATTAAAGAAAGGAATGTGTAGTTTGTAAAATAAAAATGAAATATTGGATTATTATGCCCCCCAGCTTTTCATTCATATTTTGTGACCTACCCTCAAAAAACTGCACTCACATGAACGATATGGATTTCCTGGCTGAGCAAACTGCTCAAACCTTTCAGCCGAAATAAGTCTGAAAGATATGTGCGGTACTCTTTTGTCTGGTTTACTTTCTGTGCCATGTGGAAAGCTCAATTAATGTCTAACTTACACCTGACTTCCAGCTAGAACGCAGACCTACATCATTCTCACTGGTAACAGAAGTGAATGAAGCTGTAAAAGAAAAGCAAAATTTACTGCATAAAAGCTAAATTGACCTTATCTTCATTTAGCTCACAGAAATTAACACAGATAAGAATGTAACCATGATAAAAGTGGTTTTAATGTAATCTTGCTGGTACCTGTTACCTGATTACTATCTTTTTTCTGTAACAGAATACCTGATGACCCCACCTCCCCAAGTAAAACTAGTCCTGTCCTTATAGCACTTAAGTGGACTAATGACAATGACTTCAAATACAATAAATATGTAAAAATGCTCCTCAACTGCTGCTTTTGAGAAGTAAGTACAGATGATGTGCAGTGTTTGTTCAGCAAAACACAGGACTGCTGTTAATTTGTAGGAGTTAACTGCTTCCTGACAACTTCTGGAAAGTTGCTCTTTCAGAACTATTCATTTGCAACAGTGAGACAATCATTGTGGTTTGATGTTGTAACTCAAATAAACAGTCTTGAAAGGGGCACTTGGAAAAAGAGCAGTCATGTTTATGTTGAGTATTTATGTTAAACATGCGCTGGTCCAGTGCACAGTATACACACACTGTAAATTAGCTGACTTAACTTAACAACTGAGTGAAGTTACGTAACAGGTTCAAGTTTAAATGACTTTATAATTAAGTTATAGGTACTTTATATTTTTCAGTGATCCACACTTATTCAGCAAGTAAGGTTCAAACAGCACAATCACTTTAAATAGTCTCAACTGAGCAGATAGTACTCTTCTGTTCACTATGTTTTAATAGGGTTAACTTCAATCAGTATATTCATCTATGTGCAATGCACTGGTGTTAACTGTGCTCCATTGTTTTAAATGGAAACAGAAGCCAACAAAACTGCTCAGAATGCTCTGAAGCCTTTCAGGCAAAAGACTCTTCAGTCTCTTGGACTTCTTCAAATGAACTCATCTTAACAAGATTTGCGTAAGTAACCTAGGATTATACAAGAAATACTAAGAGTTACTAATTTGTATTTGTAAGTTTAACATATGAGCGCACTAAAACAGATTAGGTTAGTGCTATTGTTATGTTCTGCAGTGCAGTAAGGTCACCTGTTTTAAATAGTCCACTGGGAGTTTATTTAAAGGGGGTTATTCTGCTCTGGACACAATAATGCCATAATACTACAGCCCCCAAGTCATAATTTTGTGGAAAGCCCTGAAATGTTCCATCAGTTCCTGAATGATTCACTAAACAATGGCAACACCAGCCTGCTGGTCAGCAGCAGCCTACAAAACGGGTCAGGAAGATCTGACATAAACAGAGTAGCAACTTTGTTACAGATATCCACAAAATAACTCATCTAAACTTGGAGAACTGATATTTTCATTCACTTTACATTTTACTTTGAATAATCAAATAGCAATAACCTTACCTTGAACAGTAAGTTAGTATGAGCAGAATATCAACAGGTCCAGCATTAGGGTCTGTTTTGAAAACTGCATGTATCATTTTTAATAGAATGAAATACACTTCAGGACATCAGGTTATGCGGGACAATGTACTGTAAGTAATGTCAATCTAGGACATGCATGCATTAGACCTTGAATGCCAAACTCACTGTTTTGTTCAATTTCCCACTAGAAAATAATTTAATGTTATGAACCTCTTTAGAACTAATACTGATTTGAAGTGCTTTAGAGATTGAAAAACAAGGCTTCTATTTATCTTTGTCAATCTAAACTACTGTAAAAATGATCTCAAAGTAAGTAGCCTGGCTACCTTCAAATTTTGAGTTAACTGGACCTCTCACAGCATTTTAAAGGGCCAATACTCTCATTTTATAGTTTCCCGCTTCGGTCCACTTCGGCCATTGTGTAGTTTTACCCATTCATTTTTACCTTGAAAACTTTCCAATTGCTCTTCATCTCCTACAACTAAACAGGCTGTTTTTCGTTACTGTGCCTGTAATACATATATATGTAAATGACCTCTATTCTGATTGACAGCCCTGTAATGTGCTTTATTTAAAAAGCAATCCACACTAAAACACTCCTCATAACTTCAGCGTAACTGGACAGAGCTAGACTGCTGTGGTTTGAATGGGCAGATTTAGTCTATGGAAATGTGTTAGCTTTTATGACATCACAAAAACAATGAATTCAAAGTAAGCTGTGTGTGTAACTAAGTTTCCACAATATGGACTACATGGACTGGGGCGTGAGCGGTACTCTTAGAAACTTTAACCATTTTTATTTCCTATGTCAAACAGCTATTTTTTAAAAAGTGAGGGAAAGTTTCTGTGATATGGGCTCTTTAACATAATTTGGTTTTACGGATCTTTATTTGACTTGAATAAAACCAGTACAACTGCTTGTTACCGCAAGAAGGGCATGCTTGAAGCAGGACTGACAAAACAATTTTACAGTGAAGAGTGTTGTAAAGTATCTATGATACATATACGTATATAAGTGTTGTAAGGAGGTCAGAATGGTGCACAAACAGTAAAGAAAGAGTAAATAAAGGCGATAAGTTTTACCTCCTCCGTTCTTATAGCACAGATAAGGGAACCTCCACACGTTGGCCAAGTCCACAGCAAAGCCTATGACGGACAGCAGAAAGTCCAGTTTCTTGCCCCATGTCTCCCGGTCTTCGTGATCGGCGGAAGAGGAGGTGAGGGGGCACGCGCGCGAGCCCGCCACGCTCGAGTTGGTGTACTGGACGCCGTTGTGCTCCTTGACCAGGATGAGCTCCACGTCTTTCTTCTCCGCATTGTACGGCTTCAGCGGCGCCACCGAGGACAGCTTGTGCTCGGGCATCACGTACACGTTCATCGCGGATCGACGGTCGCGCGCCGCTCCGGGAGCTCGCCGCGCTCGCGCTCTCGCTCTCGTGCGCCCGTCGGTGTGGCGAAAGGGAGACGGGTGCCGCTGCTAGTGATGATGGTGATGGTGATGATGGCGATGATGATGAGGATGATGATGATGGTGATGAGGAGGAGGAGGAGGAGGAGGAAGAGGAGCGTGGACAAAGCGCGTCTCCGCTGAGAGACTTTGCGTCGTGGCGAGGTGGAGACGGCTCCTCTGCTTCATCAGCTGGATGGAACACATGCAAAAGAGCAAGAAAATGATTAATACACAGTTCAGCAAGTGACAGAGAGCGCGAGAGGCGCGGAGCACAAACAAGTTCACATTTCAGTTTTGAAAGCAGTCAACAACAGAGAAAGAGCCTGTGCGCAAAGGCACAAGCAGACACAGCAAAGCAGTTCAAAGAGCGACGAGGAAAAGACCAGCTTTTCTAACTAACATCTATTTATCTTCTCGGCTCGTTACCAGCAGTGAGTTCTCATGCTTCGATCAGCTCAGCTACTAAAAAGCCCTCCATGCGTTTCCAGCGCGCTCACAGTCAACAGGTTAAGCCTCAGAGTCGCTCTGTTCAGCTCTGCTCTGCTCTGTTCTGCTCTACTGCTGCTGCTTACAGTAACTCTCAGCGGAAGTTTGAGCGTAGTTCGTACTTGTCACGCGGAGAGGCTTCGGCCATGGCCGGCTGCTGCTGCTGCTGTGGTGCGGATGTGAATGAGCGCCTGCCCATCCTCATCCAAGTTTAAGTGTCCCCTCCCCTGGAGCCAGAGGCAGCGCGAGCAGGGAGGATGGAAATCCACATCCCCCTCTTCCACGTGATGCTTTATATCTTAGCATGCGTGAAACTTTTCTTCTTCTTCATCATCATCATCATCTTTTTCTTCTTCGTCATAATAATAATAATAATAATAATTATTATTATTATCATCTTCATCACCATCATCATATTCTTCTTCTTCTTCTTCATCTTCTTCTTCTTTTTCTTCTTCTTCACAGTTATCATCTTTTTTTATCATATTCTTCCTTTTCTTCATCTTTCTTATTGTCTCCTTCTTCATAAAAATAATCATTTTCTTCTTCATCATAGTTATCATCTTTTTATCATCATCTTCTTCCTTTTCCTCATCTTCTTCATTATCTTCTTCTTCCTCTTCATAGTTATCATTTTTTCTTCATCATCATAGTTATCATCATTTTTATCATCATCATCATCATCATTTTCTTCTTCTTCTTTTTCCTCTAACATCTTCATTGTTTCATCATTTTCTTTCAGCATCATCTTTGTCTTCTTGTTAACGATCATAAAATCTTATTCTTCATCATTATTCTTCATCATCATCTTCATTTTCTTCTTTTTCTTTAACAGTCTTCTTCTTTTTTCTCATAATTCTTCAGCATCTTCATCATTTTCATTTGAATCTTATTATTCTGTCATCTTTTTACATCTTTTTCTTATCCTAATTGCCTTCTTTTTCATCATAATTATCATGTTCTTCTTTTTCTTCCTCTTCATGTTTTTCATCTTCTTTTTCTTTCTCTTAATTTTCAGCATTTTCTTGTTTTTCTTTTCCTTCATTTTCATTACCATCACATTATCTATTTCTTTTTCATAATCATGATCATCATCATCAAAGATCATTTTCATGATCTTTGTCATCATCATTATCTTCTTCTTCTTCTTCTTCTTCTTCTTCTTCTTCTTCTTCTTCGTCTTCTTGCTTCACCTTCTTTTTAGTGTCATAACAAGTCATGGCCTATAGGCTAGATTTTACTGTGTTGGAGATTAAAAGCTCAAATACAGTAAAGTGCAGCAGCTTTGCACAGTAGCTCCAACTAGTAAAATTCAGGTGCTGAGATATTAGGAATCACTTGAAGAGAAATTGAAATGAACCTGAAGCCAGTGTTTAACACACCCAGTCCTGAGACCACCTGCACTCTACAGTTTGATGATTTCCTTGCACCTGACTCACATCATTAACTAATGATCAAGTCCTTTCTTAGCTGAATCAGGTGTCTTAATGCAGGAAGACATGAAAATGTGCTGTGGATTACGATGATGAAGTTGGAAAACACTGTCTTAAGCTGCAGATAGAATGTTGTCTGAACTTTGCCTTCACATCAGTGCCCATATTATCACCAAAAGTTTGGGAAAGACAAATAAATAAGTAAACGAGACCTTCTCAAAAATGTTTTATTCTTCCCTTTAATTGTCTGTTTCTCCTCTCTTCTTCTGCATAGATTCAATTACCTGGTTTCTAAGAAGCGGTAAAAGCATTGTGTTCCATGTGTAATCAAATCTCACACAGCTTTAGCCAAAGGCTACGATTTCTATTAGATATGGGTGATCAGTTCATCCCATTAAAGTCAATGAATGTCCCTTTAAAGCTTTCCAGTGCTTCTTTTATGAAACCTTTACAGGCCTGTTTTGGGGTGCTTTTGTTGATACTCCGGCAAAGATTAGATAATAAAAATAAGGAACCTGGTTACACAAGCTGATTTATGCACTCATTAAAGGCACTTTCCTTCTCTGGAAGTTGGAATCTGCACATGCTATTTCAGGACGTTGCCATACGAAGGGGAGAAGGTGACCCCAACGAGGGTCTCGGACAAACAAACAAACAAGATGTCCTTGCACTTCGGCGTAAAGTACCCTACACTTGGATCGTCCACCATCATCAATCTGGTGAACAGCATCCATTTTGTCAAATGTTGTACTGATACAGTGATGTAACTTAAGGCCGGTTATATAAGACTACAAGAGTTTCATAGACACTATCTTATCTACATAAAAGCTCATAAAACTTGTGAAGTAAACACATTCTGAAGTGATGTCTCTAGTATGTACTGCAGTAGTTGGACTAAAATGATGGTTCTATGGTTCACGTCATGTCATATGAATTGCTGACCAATCTGTTGCCAATGGTTAAAGGGGCATTCTGGCTTAAAACTAGAATTTAATATGCTATGTAATATTCTGTAGCATAGCACTCTATCCCTCAGTCTCATCTGTTTGACAGAATTCACAAAGTTATGTGGTTTTCATGTTTTCGTTCATTATGCGCTGTTTAAATATGTCCCAGTGGTGTCAACTAATCCTGACTACTAGCTTAGCCACTGATCTATGCAGTGCTGAGAATGATTCACCACCCAAATAATACCTGCTCTGTGGTGGTCCTGAACACTAAAGAACAGGGTGAAAGGGGGCCAATAAAGCATGCAGAGATACAAATGGCCTACAGAGTACCTGTATGGTAAATGGACCTAAAAATGGAGTGTAGACACAAGGAGGTGTACTTAAAGAAGTGGAAGGTCAGTGTATGTCTTTAGTAGACAAAAGCTTTTGTATGTTTTGTACAGTACATAAATGGCATTGGCCTGATATTTCATTCTGCACCATAGTGAGGATTGCTTGGTATGTTTGATTGAGGCATAGCAGATAGCAAGTTCAAGCTGTGGGCTCCGGTCAGCTTCCACAGCATTTACTATGCAGATTGTTTTTCCCTTGTCCTTTCTGGCATTCCTGGCATATATGCTTTAAAATCAAACAAAGTCTATGTCATGGCTATATACTTTTTTGAGCACATGCTTTCAAGGTGTGTCACATGGTTTTGTTCTCTGTTTGTTCTAGCAAAACTGTTTCATTCTTCAGAATGCTTTGTGTCAATCAGGCTTTAAGTTCCTCCATCTCTGGCCTGTGTACTTTGCAGTTCCTCCTAAGTCTTTAAAGGGAGAAAGACAGAGTTAGGGAGATAAAGGAGAAAGAAAATAAAAGAAAGAGGAGACCTGAGGATGCAAAAGCCAGGTGATGGACAGCCTTAGGGTACAGAGTCAAATGTCACCCAGAAAGTTAAGTTACACAAACAAACGTGTACAAAGCCAGACCTGAATTTGTAATGTATTTATTTTAGCTAATAATAATTAATTTAGCTCACCGCTGTCGGAAAAAATCTCCATTTTTGTCTTTTTTCAGTTTTTCACATAATTTGAAAATGCCTGTTACTCTTTACATTGTGTGTAAATTGAATGAAGAATGGACAAACAAACAAACAAAAAGAAAAAAAAACAAAAAACGCCTGACTGAAAAAAGTCTGGTTCAATTGACTTACATTAAAATAAAGAATTTTTCCTTCTCCTGGAAAGTTATCACTTTGGAGATATAAGATTTGTAGATTGGATTGCTTGGTATGTTTGATTGAGGCAGAATGTTCAATCAACCAGCACTGCAGCTGGGTCAAACTGAGCGTCAATCAAAACACGCCAGTGTGGCCTACTGGAATTGACTGAATTATCCCTGATCTATAAAACCCATGTGGTTCATCACAGCAGCAGCATTCAGCAACAACAAAACACCAACAAGAAAACAGCATGTTTCTGCCATTCAAGTAACACAGTTTCTTCAAAATGTTTAGGCACTGCAAAACTGTAAAATCCTGAAAAACAATGCATGTCAGGAGCAAACCTATACAAAATCTATTTTGTACTATATTGAAAACTTCACAGGTACACAGTGTCTCATTATGAGGTTAATTGTCTATATATATATATATATATATATATATATATATATATATATAAAATAAATTTATAAATACATTTAAAGCTCATTGCTCAAGCTTATGGTAGAAGGTTTTAAACCATGCTATGTTTGTTCAGGGACTGTAGTTTGCCTATTCACAACATTGAATTAATCGATCTCTGCTCCCCAACTTCAAGAATACCGTGGAAAAGATGGATAGAGGGTATGTTTTTACATACCAATGAAAACTGCAGTAACAGATAATCTAAAAATATATCAGAAATAATGTAGCAAAATATTTGAACCAAAAGAGCTGTGGACACCTGCACAGAACATCTTAAATGAATTTTGCACTGCACCAGTTTTTCAAAATCTCTGCATAAATAAAGCTCTGAGATATTAAGAAAGTCATTCGGAGTTGTTTTATGTGAAATGATTCATGATTCAGAAACATACT